GACCAAGACTTCGGGAAGCGCCCACATGTTACACAGTGTGGCAGTGTGGCGTCCTCGCGATGATAATCATCGCCTGTTTGTCACTTCTCTTGGGGGCACGAGCAGATGACCTACCCGATGAATGTTCTTGAGGAGCCAACGGGGGAAGAAGCGATACCATGGCCGATGAGGGTTTACATGGGGCGTCAGATGCAATTGCGCCTTCTTGGGTTCCCTACTCTTCTCGCGTGCGTGCGCGAGCGATTCTGATGCCATTGCTGACGGGCTGAAGGGAGACGGCAATGAGCATCGTTTAACCGATCCCTATCCCCACAAGCATGGCCTGGGCCCCACTGGCCTGTTTACCCCTGTAGATGGGGATGCAGGATGTTCCCTTCTTAGGAACCAGAAAAAACACACACACACAAAGGATTTTCACACAAAGGGTTTTGGAACCAACGCCGGTGCAACGCATGTGCACACATGCGAGTGGACCCCCAGCGATCCGACCCAGGGTTGATGCACGGCCGCGCTCTAGGATGCAGTTGACATGCATGGTGTGGCAAGGCTGTCGGCGGCGACAAGATCCCCAGATCCGCTACCAACAAACATTCCACGGTGGTTTGGCACAGCCAAACCACCGTGCAACGTCAGTTTGTTCATCCGTTGACAGCAGCACGCGTCGCGGCAGCAGAACGCAGTAGCGCGCGCGGGCATGCAGGGCCGGCGATGTGGCTGGCCAGCTGCCAGCGCGATTTCGGCAGAAGAGCCGAAATCCACGCAGGATCGTGTTGGGCGCGGTATCCGGCGCAGTTGCGTCGCACTGCCAGGCGCCGCGGCCTTGCGATTGTAGCGCCAGGCCCTGTGCGCTCGTCGAGGCGGGACAGCAAGCTCTACACAAAGGAATCGCGCGTGCTCTTGTGGGGGCGGCGAAAACGATCGCACACAAAGGAAATTCCTTTGTGTGCCCCCCGCGTTGGCAGTGTAACCAGACCGCACACAAAGGAATTACACGAGACTTCGTGGCACACAAAGGAATTACAGCAACGCCCTTCGGGTTGCGCTCTTCGCGCGCGGTGACAGCTCCGAGCTGGAAAGGAAGAGAGGGCGGGACAAGGCAAAGTAGGGGTAGAGGGAAAAGGAGAGGAGGGCGATAAAGAAGCGAAGGAAACAACGGAAGGAAGCCAGGATGCGCGCAAGCGAAGCTAACACTGCGCGCCGAGACAGTTGTTCGTTCGTTCGGTTGGCCGCGCGGCAGATTAATAGAAACATATGTGTCTGCTGCCTATCATAAGGACTTCTTGGGAATGAGACTCGCGCTCTCTTCCCAACCCCCTTTCCCACACCCCGTTGCGAGCGCGCGACGATTTGTTCTGGCCCGCGGGCACAGGACTGCCAGTTGCTGGTGAGCGGCCTTTCCACCCGTCACGCGTTCCGAACACATGCGACCAGCTAAACGCACTTGCCACGCAAACCGCCAGCTCCAAAGACCGACGCCACACCGATCCCCGCATCCGTACCAGGCACCCTCTCAACGACGCCCCCTTCCGGCGTAAAACCAATAAAACCCTTTGTGTTTATGTGTTTGTTCCTGTTCTGACTTCTGGCTTCGAGGGGCCTGTCCCCAACTGGAAGGTGCGGGATGGTCGGGCTGAGATGCCTTTGCCTGGTGAAACGATACTGGGGCAAATCGTCGGGTGATGGTCCGAAGTCCTCCGACTGGTGGGCGGAAAAATCAGTGAAGCCACGGGACCGCAGGAAGTGTGTGTGGCAACGGCAGGCCGCCCGCGTGGCGAGAGCGGAGAAAGCGGTACGACTGGCGGTTGGCGGAATTGGCGAGGCACGCGGTAACGAAGCGACTGGGTAAGGAGGTACAGCCAACCCGTATAATGACAACGCGCTATCAGGATGCAAGGGCCTTGGACGGCCATGTCGACACTTTGCGGGCGGGGCGCGGCCAGCGAAAGCGGCCAAGGATGGGCGAAGGGGAAGGATGCAAGGGTAGCCTTGGAAAATCGATCATCCTTACTATGCGGGTTGACTGTACGGCGTTTTCGTGTTGTGACGACCTGCATGTTGGTTTCAGACACCGTATGGATCGTTCAACCTCGAACGATCGGTCGATCGCCAGATTGGACGATTCTGGGCCGCTGGCGGCGTTCAACCTTGAGCGCTCGTCGCCGAATCGACGCCACACAAACCTACCGTGCTACCGTGCTGCAGCGACAAGCCGATGGCTGCGAAATCACGACCTGGGAAGCAAATATTTGAAAGGCAACGGGCAGAACGATCGGGGCGTTTCGCTGAGGCAATGAATCATGCAAGAAACGTGTGAGCTCGTGACATGCCCATACCAGACCAGAAGCCAAACAAACGATGCTACTCGTCAGATCCAGTCTCTCTGTCCAAGGCGGTGCACAGCCTTTCGAGGTCTTCGCCAGTGTTGTATACATGTGGCGATGTGCGAAGGGACCCGAGGCGCATAGACACATGCACCCGATGCCGCTCCCAGAGCTGCGAAACCCAGCCCAGGCCCCAATCCCCGTCAACTTTTCGCAATCCGACCATGTGGGGCAGCCGACTGTCTGGGGCGATCAAGCCACGGCGATTGCCCATGTAGATCGCCTTGGCAATAATGCGTTCGAGTGCTTCAGAAACCGCCACGGGCGTCCACTTTATCAGCTGCTCCAAGGCTGCGATGGCAGCAGGCAGCGTCGACCAACTACCACATCTCTGACCTGCGTCGAAGCGGGACGCCCAGCAAGATTGGCGTAAATCCAGCCGTCCGTCGCCGTCCTCGCCGCCCCGGATTCCCCACATAACATTCGCCCTATTGGGCTGGCGCTGTACCACCCGCTGTCCTTCAGGCCTCGTGGCCCCACCTCGCTCTCGTAGAAGCGCGGAGCGGCGTACAAGAAGAAGATGCCGCATGGGCATACAGCCACTTATACCCAGCACAGACGAGCCAGTCTGGCTGAACCTCCCTGACATCAAAGGGCACGACGCCTATGCTCTGCGTGCCGTCGACCACCAGTGCTACGCCCACCTCGCGGCACTGCCGGCCGATCCTGGTGAGGTCAAGCCGGGCCCCGTCAGCCCAAAAAAGTTGGAGCGACAGCGACCACGGCGGTGGTGACGACTATCGCCGAGAGCACTGCCCTGGTCCACTCTCTCCCTGCTGGAAGCTCGTGCGGGGCGGGCACCACTCGCAATTCTGGGCCGCAGTCTCGCACAGATGCGCACTGCCAGACAAAGCGGTTCGACGTATGCTCTCGCGCCGAGGTAACAAGGTTCTGAGTGCGACTCACAGAGGGAAGCAGGTTGACTGCAGCTGTCGCTGTGCCATACGACGCGCTGGGCACCAAAGCGATGTCACAAGGCCGCGCGCCTACAAGCGATGCGAAAAGCTCACGCGCGCGATCAGCGTCAGAGTAGAAATCGGCCTTGCCCAGCTCCCACGAAGTGGCCTTGCGACGCACAGCCGCATCGACAGCCACTGTGGAAGATTTCAGCTGGGGGCCCAAAAACGCGGCGTTGAGATATCAAACATCGGCAGGGATCTGGAAGAGGCCACGAGCGAAACCAGGCGGAAGACTGCTACTCGGCGCCGCAATGGTAGCACCTTGAAGCCAGGGCTACAAGGAGAAACTGGAGAAGCATGACAAACTAATAAACATGATTTCTCTGAGGTCCGCGCAGCTTTCTTGGATCGGCAATGGACCACCCTCCCTGGCGCGCGTGGAGCGAGCCAGCGGCGGCGCCAGAGGCGCCGCCAGGGGGGCCCTGGGCGCATCCATGAAATCCGTGCAGCGCTCCGAGAAATCATGCTTATGCCGTTCTCTTTTCTTCGGGAAGCGAACCAGCGTGGCCTGATCAAAGCGGCGGCTGAAGACGGACGCGGCAGCAGCAGCATCACTAGTTTCTCGGATCATAACTCGGCTCCCTGGCGGCCGTTGGGGACGATTCGGGCACGACCGGGACGCCTTCGACGAGGCGCAGCTGATAGAAACTGCCCCGGGTGTCGGAAACTTTCGAGAACTACAAGAAGGACGTCCCGAATCCCACGGCCCCACGACGGCCCAAGACGGCCCATATAGTTCCAAGACGACTAAATCGTGCCCACGACCCAAGAGGGCCTTAAGACAGCCCAATAGGGCCCCACGTTACCCCCAACACTACCCAAAAGCAACCAAAAACAGCCATAGACGGCCCCAAAATGGCACAAACAGTCTCAACGAGAGCTCCTCAAGTAGTGGGACGACAAGTGTCACGTGTGAAATGGCGGACTTGTCGCAAGCAGCTGTATAGAACGTTCTGTGACAGCCCGTAATGGTGCGTGCACTAGGGGATCTCACTTCGGCTCAAGTAGTTGGACGGGTGTGGCAGGGTTTCGTCTGGTGCTGTGCTGCTTCGGAGTGGTGGGGGTCCCCCCGGTGCTCGGTCGATTGCCGCCCGTGGGCGCCTCGTTGGCGCCCCGTGCGCTGGGTGGGTGTGGCAGGGATTCGCCTGGTGCCCGTAGGCACATTGTGGGCGCCCCGTTCGCTAGGTTGGTGTGCCGAGGTTTCACCTGATGCCTGCCCGTGGCTGCCTGTGGGCGCGCGTCTCGCGGGCGCCCGAAAGGCTGGCACCACATAGCACCACAAAGCTTGCAGCACACGTATTGCACCATATTGCTTGCATCAACTCATTTACACCACACGCGTTGCACCACATGTATTGCACCACATGTGTCCCACATCCGCATTGCAGCAACTCCCTGTTTGGGGCCCGCAATGACAAAAGCGTGCTTTCATGTATGTGTGTATGTGATGCGTAAGCACGGACACCCGCATTTCTGATACATACAACAAAGGCATTACTGTGCATATGGGTGCGTATCTGAAGTGTGCTCGTGTATGTAATTCTGCACATACACATCTATACGCAAGCATAAGCGACATCTGAGAATGTCTGCCAATCCCCCACCCCTCGCTTCTCTTCCCCTACTCTCCCCGCCACTCCCCTCATCTGCCCACCCCCTCCTTGGCCAGCCCGCTGCAGAGGAAGTGCAGGGGTTCCAGCGCTCACATCCTGCAGGGCCGAGGGAGGGCGGCGAGGCGACGCTCACCCCAAGACCCTGGGCACACAATCAACAGAGAGAAGAGCGAACAGAGAGCGAGCACGGCAACGAAACAAACAAATCGCCTGCGACTGCCGCCGCGAGGGGCGCCGTGCCCGCTCACTGTCTGTGCACGACTCCGGGCGGAGCTCCAACCTCAGTCCTTCCCGCGCCGCCCCACCCACGGCGCTGGCATCAGAGCTGATTCGGGTAATCGCTTGGCGGCGCAGCTCCATCTGCACACCGCTCTGCTAGGAGGCTGGAAACAAACAAAGACACACCCGCAGCTGGCTTCACATCTGGAAGATCTGGAGCACAAGCGCTGGATACACACAGATGCACACACGCGGACGCCCAGCGTGGCAAGCCCCAAAGGGCCGAGCGCCGGAAAGACGTGTGGCCACATCTGCATCCAGCTGTCACACAGGCTGGCCGCGCCGTGTGTGCAAGGGCAGTACCAGCAGGTACACATTGCCAAAGCTGTTGTCATCATCCAGAGTCATGTTTGACCGCCCCGGGGCGCGACAAGGCCCCCACCCCCGCAGAGGCCGACAGGCCGACCTATGCCCAAAAACAGCCGTTGCGACTCTTCGCGCGACGTGAAGAGGTGAGGCGGGAATGGCTGGTTGTGGTGAAAGGAAAACCGCCACCCAACATGTTTTCACGGCGTTGGACCGAATACCGCCGAACAGGCCAAGAGCGTCACTCGAGCCTAGAGTACGCACGCACGCGCGAAAGGAGGTACTGTCAACCCGTACAGAAAAGGATGCGCGGTAAGGATATAAGGTCCTTGGAGGGCCATGCTAACTGTTTTCGAACGAGGCTGGCTAGCGAAAGTCGCTGACGATGGACCGAAGGGACAAGGATGCAATGCTAGCCTCGCAAAGTCGCTCATCCTTACTATGCGGGTTGACTGTAGGAGGTGCGGGAGAAGGAGGAAGCTGACGCTTGGAGCTCTCGCTCCCGCGGCTTGCCCAAGAAAAAGAAGAGGAGGCGTGGCCGTGCCCCTCCCTACGCACGCACCAGTGCGAGGCGAGGATTTCTATTCATCTCCATCGCCTGAGGCGCCCACGCCCTGGGACCCCAGCGGGTGGTGGTTAGGCATACAGTCAACCCGTATAAAAAAAGAACGGCCGATAAGGATGCAAGGGCACAGGAAGGCCATATCGACACCTTGCGAGCGGGGTGCGGCCAGCGAAAGCGGCCACAGGGATGGGCCGGAGGGGAAGGATGCAATAATAAACTTGGACAGTTGCTCATCCTTACTATGCGTGCTGACTGTATGTCGCCGCGCCATTTGTTCTCGACGCACCCAAGTAGACGACGCCTACCCCACGGCAAACCCACGGCAAGCCCTGCGTCCTGTGCCCCATGTCGACGAAGCTGGCACCGCGGCAAACCCACGGCGAACCCACCGTGTCCGAGGCGGCGCTTGCCCTAGTGGCCGCGGCGCCCTCCCCAAGACGGAATGCCGCGCGTCGGAACAAACGGCGCGGCGACACATCCATATCCACCGCCTGCAGGATCCTGCAGGTTCCCGCGGGCAGACCCAGGTCAGTGCACCCCTGGCTTCGCAGGATCCTGCAAGCTCTGGCGCTTTGCCAGGCACCCGTTTGCATCGACCCCTGTCCCTGGAGCCCCGAGGGTCCCCGAAGGTCGATCCCCTGGGCGGTGGTGCTGGATAGCTCCGCGCCTCGGAGCCCATAAACTCTCGGAGCGGCGATGGCAGGGGGAGCGCCAAGGGGGGGGCCTCCGAGGGGGCGATGCCACGCCTCGGGCGGCGCTGCGGGCGCATAAAGGCGCTGCCGTGCCGTTCGGCCCCCCCCGAGACATAAAGATCACGACAAAGGTCTTCGCTATTTTCGGCCCCTAGGGGCCCTCACCACGCCTCGCTCCGTGATGACAGGCCAGCCCCGCTGAATGGGGCGAGGCCTCTGAGGGTCGACGTTGTGAACACATCATGACGCTAAGGGTTTGGAGTCATCGCCGCAGAAGGCGACCCAAAGCTGGGCGATGGGCGCGCGTGATCAAGCTGGCTCGTCGGAGCGGACCCCGAAAAATCAGCGCGGTGCCTGCAGAGCAGGGAGGGCGAGGGGAGCACAAGCCTGCAGCCTCGGCGTGGCCTGGCAGCGCGACGGCGGCCAGGAGCGGCCGCCAGAGGTTCGTTCCCCCGCCCGGGCCTGGGTCTGGGGCAGAGTTCCTTGCCTTGGGAGCCTCGAAAAAGGTCAGCCAGGTCAACCTTGCCACGCCCAAGCTGGTTTTCCGAGGTCGCCAACAGATCGCCAATGTCCAACTTACATCAAGCAAAATGGCTATGGTGGCGGCGACTGGGGTGGCCACCCCAACCCAGCAATTGCTAGCAAGCTTGCTCTCGAGCTGTGGGACGACCTTGCGCCAAACTCTCCTGGTCGCCTCTGCATCGGAATTGGCGTGGGTTACAATCTGAAGCCGCGCACCGATCGTGTCAAACATGGCAAGGAAAGCAGGGCCACGTCTACCACATTCTAAAGCCCAAAGAGTGGTCAAGCTACCCCCCCTTTTAGAGAAGCCCCCAATCAACCTACCCAACGCACGACGCCACCCAAGATCAACACTGGAAGGGGTGCCGTGTATCTTGTCAAGGTTGAAATCATGGCCATCTAGCGCTCACACTTTTGCAACACCTGCTGCCTCAAGCAAGCTTTCGGAGTCTGACTTGTCGCCTGTCAGCTCCAGCCCTTGAACTGGCCTGCTTGGGTCCTCTGGACCTGACCTGCCAACTGCCAATAACTAGATCAGCAGCTACACGCTTGGCCTGGATGGTGATGCCCCGCCCCCTGAAAAAAACTCTTCTCCGAGAACTGATCACAGCCGACTTCGGAGTGATCTGAGGCTTGATCTCTCTGATTTTTCTACTAGTTCAAGGCCTACTCGAGATAGGTAGAGAGAGAGAGAGAGAGAAAGAGAGAGGCAGTCATTCTATCATTGCGTGTGGACGGACAACGAAGGTGGCCATGTGGCAATCCTCCTACAGACATAGCGCAGCTCAACCCTACCTAGATCCACTGTTGACTGTTCCACGACTCCCTGGGATCAAACACGTGCTTGGTAGGAGAGCAAGAGAGAAGCCCCTGGATTCCTTTAAAAACTTGGCTGCTATATTGACCTGGATCTAAATCCAAATCATGTCCCAACACCAGGAGCACGTTTCTTTATGTTCGGCGATGACGGGCGTCATGGGGGGGGGGCGGGGGGGGGTATGACGTAACGCCCCGCCCTGCCGTGTGGCTCCGGCACCACAGCCGCGCCCACGCAACGAGCGACGAGCGAGGAGGACGACGACGACGACGACGCGAGCAGCATGCAGTTGGCGATCTGCCCCACTGCGCCTGTGTACACCACAACGCTCGCGTGCACCACAGCGCGCGTGTACACCACAGCGCCTGCGTACACTGCAACAGCCGTGTGCAACGCAGCGCCTGTGTACACCACAGTGCTTGCGTACACTACAGCGCCAGCGTACATGTGTACACCGCAGCAACCATGTGCAACACAGCGCCTGTGTACACTACAATGCTTGCGTGCACCGCAGCGCTCGTGCACGCCACAGCGCCTGTCTACACTACAGCATCAGCGTGCAACGCAACGCCGATGTACACCACAATGCCTGCGTGCATAGGACAAGTAGAAAGAGCATGTGCGTGAGGATCTGCTGCGGACAACTAAACGCAACGCCTGGAAAGTGTTGATAATCGAATGCGACGTTTTTCCCTCTTCCCCTCCTCCTCCTCCTCCTCCTCCTCCTCTTTCCCCCCGTCGTGCGGGTTGGCGCTGCAGCGCACGCGCGCATCTCAGCGTGCACCGCAGAATGGTCGATTGAATCGGTCCACTTGGCTCTCGGACGGCCAATTTAACTGGAGCCTCCTTGACGCAAAAAGGAGGAGTCAGGGTGATGCGGGCGGACTCGGGGGGACTCGTAGATTCCAGTGGCGTTCCATTGTCCATAAGGATTCCTTTCTATTGTTCGGCTCTGGAATCCACAGGCGCTCCTATTTGTCAGAAGGATTCCTCCCAACATTCTCTGTGCAGTAGTGGTGCACACAAGCACTGCAATGCACGCAGACATTGTGGTGTACACTGGTGCTGTGTTGTACACGGCTGATGTGGTGTACGCGTGCGCTGTGGTGTACACCAGAGCTGTTGTGCCCGCAAGTACGGTGGCACAAACTGACGCTGTGCTGCTGCACGCGGGTGCTGTGGTGTACATAGGCGGTGTGGTGTTCACAGGCTCTGTGGTGCACGCAGGCACCATGGTGTACACAGGCGTTGCGGTTCAGATCGCCACCTACATGCTGGTGCTGTCCGTCCTCCGTCATTCCTAAGCATTCCCAGACGCCGCCAGCGCGAAACGTGACGTCATCGACCCCCCCAGAAGATTGTCGTCATCGGCCCGGAATAAGAAACAGGCTCCAGCCGCGCCCGCGCGCACGACGACGATGAGCGACGAGCGACGAGCGACGACGACGACGACGACGACGACGACGACGACGACGACGCGACGACGACGACGACGACGACGACGACGACGACGACGACGACGACGACGACGACGACTGCGGACCAGACTCCTATGCGGATTCCTAGGCGGACACCGACGCGGATCCCAACGCGCACGGCGGCAGTGCCCAGAACGCACTTGGTGGGGAGCGTTACGTCATAGGGGGGGAGCGGGGCCATGACGCCCGTCATGCCCCAAACAATAAAGAAACGAGCTCCAGATCCCGACGGACACTGGAATGCGCCGCTTACTTATCCCTGAACAGCTGCAAGACAGCCACCTCAAGTGCCGAATTGCCAGCCAAAGCGGTGCACCCAGTGTCAGCCTTTTCCTGGGCCCAACCAACTCGATCGTCAGTCTTGGGTCGGCCCCCCACCAAAAGAAGTAGCCTAGCGAAAGACCCAACCATATGCAAGTGTGAGTAGTGCCGTTGTG